CAATGAACCGCATTCGCTCAACTATCAATCGATAAGTGAAAATAAATCAAGTTGCTCGCCTGTAAACTGTAGATCAAATCAGTCTTCTTTAGAGAGAAATCAACCGATCAGACAAGTGAACGGCGGTGCTCCATCGAATTGTTATCCACAACAATCGCCTGTCGAAGGCAGGAACGGTCATTTTAGATACAACGGTGACAGTCAAACACAACTTCGGCTCCATGGAAATCAAACATCAAATTCAGAAACAAATACTCACCAGTATCAAACCAACCCAGGATCTCCTAGAATACCTTACGCTCAAAATAATGTTCGTTACAATGTTTCAAATGTAGAACCAGGAAGTCAATACCAAAATAACAACGAAAACAGATCGTATAATAACCACGGTCAAATCCCTCAGTACCAATGTCAATCACTCGAGAGGTTGAACAATAATAACAACAATAACGTCAATCATATGACCGATAATCGGACGTGTTATCCCCGACAACCCAGTCCCGTTCAAGTACAACACAACAATCTCAATATTAATAACATTAGTAGACACCAAGCAAGTCCCACGACGATTTGTAGTGAAAATGGTAATAGAACCGCTTACGGACAAATGCAGCAGCATCAGTTCGATAGAACAAGTTCCTCAATCAACTGTGGTGAAAAGTCCGCGATTAACCATCATCATCAACAGCAACAGCAGCAGCAGCAGCAACAACAACAACAACAGCAACAACAACAACAACAACAGCAACAACAACAACAACATCAGCAACAGCAACAGTTGGTCGATCGGCTTAACGTTGTGCCACAATATAATGCAAATAGCGAAAACAGCAATAAAACAAGTTACCTCCAACAGGGAGTGTCCGCTAACCAAGCTCAGCAGTTGGAAAGGATGGCCCAACACTACGAGAACAAAACTGGAGGGTACATTCAACAAGGCTTAACCACATCAAACTTGTCGCAGCAGCAGCAACAACAGCAACAACAACAACAACAACAACAACAACAACAATTCAGCGTTGTAGCGGGTGACAACTATAATAATAACAACAAACCCGGCAGCAATCAATCGCAGCCGCCATCGGTACAACAGTGTTCACCAAGCTACGCGCACGCCGAATCGAGAACGTTGACCGGATACCCAGTGCCGCAGCCCGACACCAGGCCTGCGCAGGCCCTTCCGGCCGGATACCCGCGGAACGCTTTGGACACGAAACCTGGCCAACACTCTCCAGGCGTGTTGCTAAGGCAGCGTAGCATGGTCAACGGTTTCCATTCGATGCCGTACACCCGGCAATCCACGGACACCGTGGCCCACTTGCCTCCAGCGCACCCAAAGAAGGACTTCACGCAGCCGGCCAACGGTTTTGCGAGGTCGACTGCCGAGTCGGCGCACGGCTCGTCGTCGTCGCTGGACCGGAACAAGCAGCTCCACCAGCAGTACGGTGGCCAGCCCGACAGCCCTGGGTCGCCGTCCAAGGTTCGCCCGGTAAATTCGTCGTCATCGTCACCGTCACCGTCATCACCGTCGTTGTCATCGTCGTCGTCGTCATCGGCGGCGGTGCAGAGGACCAACACGGTCCGCAGGCCAATGACTGTTTACGAGCCGCAACAGCTTCCACCCTACCAACACCCGCCGGTCCCGATGGCATTTAAACAGCAACAGTTGCAACTGCAGCCCTGTAGGCAAAACGGCCAGCCCAGGTCCACGACACCCAACGGCAACGCCGCCTCTGTCAGCGATCCGGGCCGGTACGCTGTTTATCAGCAGCCGCCGTCACCCCGGTTGCAGGACAAATGCACCAACGGCATTATGAACGGCATGCCCAGGCCGTCTCCTTGCAACCTGTGCCGCAAGAAGGCCGTTAACCACCCGTCCATCTACTGTTCGGACTGTGACTTTTACATGTCAAGGTTCAAGCCTAAGGCTCAATCAACTACGTGCTAACATGGTATAAAATTATGATGTAGGTACTGTTTGCGATTATTTTATGTCCAGCACGTGATCTCTTCAATTTTGTATCTGTGATATACAACAGTAAATTAGTAATCGTTTTATTATAGGTACATTATTAAGTTTCTAATGTTATATAATGTTAGTATGGTTGACAAATTACTTTTATATGAATTTCATAATTGTATACGTGGTATATATTATATTTTCTTTTTATTTACAATTATTTGTTTGTACCACGCGTCTGCTGATTGAAAATTGTTTTTGAAAAACTTTATTTATTTTTTCCATTTATAAGATATATTATATATTATCGTTATATTATGTTAAATGATCTCATTACTATATTGTAAAATACATTTTAATTATTAAATGTGTATAATATCGTAAGGATGACATTTTAGATGTAAAAGCATAATTGTAAGTTTTGCCATGTTCGATTTATAAAATACATTAATATTAATATAAGCCCACCTCTTTCATCGATGTATTAATAGTTTAAGATCATTTTTTAAATTTAAATTATAACGAATTTGAAACAATAAAATATATATTTTAATAAATAATAATATATCTGTCTTTTATAATATATTCCTAAGGAAGATTGAATAATTTTATAATAGAAATGAAATGAAATTAATTGTTACGATTAATAAACATAATATAATGACTACGAAAATACAATATTGTTACGGTCTACGTTGGATCAGCGCGGCGGTGGCAAGGTCCATCAGCTAGCGTAGTCTAACCTATATAGTTAAGTTGAAGACATTGAAGTGTGTAGTACAGTACCATCATACGAGTACTTTGTCAAAGAAATTACAGTGTTACAATAATGAATTTTTGAAAAATATTTTAGTGTAAATATAGTCAATGGTACAATATTTTAGTGTTCCCAAGCACATCCGAGTCATTAATTTTATAAAAATGTCTAAATAATTATACATATTTTATTCAACAATAAATAAGGTTATAACTTATATTACATTTTTTAAAACACTTATAATATAGGTAACGACGTAAAGTAATTAATAATTATATATATATGTGATTAATTATGCAATATTTGTTAAATGATGATTATGGTGAGGGAAGTAAAGCTTAATTTATGAAAGTGTATTCCTTAAAAATTTCAGAAATAATACATTTTTTGTTATTATCTTTATTATTTTTATAGAATTAATAAAAAATATAATTATTATTAGCCATGAGTATTTAAAATTAATGATACACGAGAACCAATACGATATTTATTTGGTATTTAATATTTAAAATAAACATAATTAATTCTAATTAACTAATTGTTCAATACGGCATTCAAATTACTCGCTCACAAAATAGAATCTTTACAGAATACAGTTGTATGCAATTGTCCTGTACAAGTTTAATCAATTAAGTTTAAAGTTACTTAATTAAAAAAAAAATATATACCTATTATCAAGTAAAAATGTTCTAGAATTATCTATTATGCGGCGTTTAGTCATGTGTATGTATTTAGGTACCTGTCCTTTACAGCTATTTGCTAATAATGAACCAATGAATAATGACATTTTATCATAAATAGTATACTTAAAAATATAAATACAAATATACTTAAAAAATAGTCTTCAAAACGTTTTGAAACATATTTTTATGGTCTGGAACTTAGAATGATCAGAAAAACCGAAAAAATCAACATCAAAAAACGTTGAATTTAATTTACTAGAACACTTTTAATAACTTGCATATACCTCTCCAGTCATATATTTTAAGAAGAAAACATATTTTTAATGTAATATTAACAAGTATATATTTATAAGAATTATACTTTTTTATAAGTTATAACTAACAATTATTAATTTAATTCTATTGACATAATTTTATCTATTACAATCTTTACTTACTACTTATATAAAATTGTAAGGGTTTTCTACGACCGCGTTAACCGAAAAAACTACTGAACCAATTTGGCTGAAATTTTTTATTGTTATACCTGCCAGTTTGCTAAAGGTTTTAGTAAGACTTTTGTTGATAAAAATAAGTATTAAATTCTTAAAAAATGAAAAAAACAAAGCTAGTTTTTGAGGCCTCTCTGCGAGGTTATTAATTATTAATCATTTATTTAAAGTCATTAATGCATTATTATAATAATTTATTTTAATTTTAATAATATTTTTTTTATAAATTCGATAAAATAATAATTAAACTTTGTAGTTTTAATAAAAATAAGTTATTAAAATAATATAACTATAAATGTGTGATTAAGATTTGTCCTGTATGTAGTAAAAACGAAATCAAATTTAAAGTCATGTATTTGAAATATTTCATGTTACCTTTGAAAATAAACACTTGTATACCTACTACAATTCATACTCAGAGAAAACGGTTTAACCATAGGCGTGCGTACGGGAGGGGAGATGTTAGGTGTGTCGTGTATCTACCGAAACTTTGTAATCGGAGCTCTTAAATTGAAATTTCCGAACAAGAGACCCGTATTAAAACTAATATTACTAAAATAAAATGTGATTTTTTTATAAAATGTATAATCAAGATATGTGTCTTTTTAGTTTACGAAAACCGAGAATCGCGCCCCATTAAAAATACTTCAAGACCCGTAGAATGGGAAAAGCTGGATTTGAGCAGTCATGTACCGTATGGCGTATAGTATAATATAATAATCATGTATGATGTGTATAGTTTTGTATAGTTTTTAGTACGGTCGTTACTCGTTGGTACCCATTTTCCCACATTTTTTTTTAAGTATTTTTATATCGAAGTAAAATAATATGGCGGTACTGTAAAATAGTCGTAAATACTAAATAGTAAATAGTGAATTTACTTTCGGAGTATCTGATTTTTGTGGGAAATGGGAATTGCCGTTATTATTAATGTTTGTAGCACGGTTAATGGTTATTTACTATAACCGTGGTTTGTAGTAAACAATGCAATCATTATTCATTGTTCTAAATACGATATATATTATACGTTTTGTTATTGGTCACACCGAATGGCGTCCTTGATAAGTGATAGTAGCGCGTAGTGATAAGAAGTTGATGTTTTTCAAAAAATGAGTTTTATTTACTAATTTACTCTTATAATTGTATAATTTCTACTTGTTATTGATTTTGGTTATTGTTATTTCATTTAGTTAGTATTTGAATCGTGTCGAACATCATGGTAGAAGTTTAAGAGAGATATCATTTAATCCTCGTTGACTTCGTTGTGGCAATGTCGATCGTTAATCATGGCTTCAAAAAAAGTATTGACTAAATGCAAATTTGAAGAAGGCGAAAAAGTACTGTGCTACGAGCCAGACCCTGCGAAAACTAAAGTCCTTTATGATTCTAAAGTAATTAAATATTCGTTTACTATACCACTTATAACATTTTAATAAACCATTTTTAAAATCCACGCATTCAGGTTTTAAAAGTAGTACCCGAAAAAGATGAACAAGGCCGCAAATTCTGCAAATTTCTCATTCATTTTCAAGTAAATATAATACGTTTATAATGTTTTACATTGTTTTATGCGTAAATGTATTTTTTAGGGATGGAATTCCACATGGGATCGATATGTAACTGATGAGTTCATATTGAAAGATACAGAAGAAAATCGCAAGCTTCAAAAAGAACTAGCTGAAGAAGCTCAACTTACGCCGTAAGTGTTACATGGTGATCTGACAGGATAGATAAGCAAAAAAAATTTATTGTTTCAGTGGTGGGAATTTATACAGAAAAGAACGAAAGAAAAGAGTAGTTAAACCAGAACCAAAACCAGTAGTAATAGAGCCAGCCACAATTCCTATAGATGATAAGTCTATGGTGGAAGACGAAAATGTACCAGTACCTATTGATACAATATTATTACCCAAAAGAAGGCTACCAGACCTTGAATTTCCAGATAATTTAAAATACCATACTGGTTATAATTGTTATTTAGCACACGAAAAGAATACAGTAAGAAATACTAATATTAAGTATAATTCGGTTTTATTGCTTATATTATTCTTTTATTACCTACTTAATATAATTCTAGTTGGTGCAGTTACCTTGTCAACCTAATGTAGTTACATTGCTTGAAAGTTACCTTAGGTATTTAGCAAGAAATAACTTCAGTGACAATAAAGCAACAAAAAAAAAACGTCAACCTGAAGTACTTGACAAAAAACAACTAGAAAAACGGTTAGCTTATATATATATTTTTTTTTACCATGAAATAGATCATATTATATGTTATAAAACATTCTTGACTAAATATTTAGTATTTAAATTTTTAATTTCTATCTGTTATTTGTAATATTTTAAATTTATAATCTGGTTTTGTTTTTTTTTTAAATATTTATAGTTACATCATTTGTGTAGAAGTATTAGATGGTCTGAGAATTTGTTTTAACACTTTCTTATTCAGAAAATTGTTGGTAAATGAAGATGAACAAGCTCAATATTATGAAGCGTTAAAAGTGACTCTTCAACCACCTGTTAACAATATTATTTCTCAGTATGATTGAATTATTACTTATTTAATTTAATAATTATTTTTCTACTACTGATTCATTAAATATTTTAATCATGTGTTTAGAAATGGTGAACAAGACTATAATAATGTACAAAATGGTGAAGAATTGGATAGCCACGAAAACAAAAATAATGTTAAAGGTAAAAATAAAAATAAAATTAATTTGCTACATTTTTAATGAAATATTATTTTTAAATGTTAATACTTTAATTATTAGTTAAACGGGAAAATACACGAAGTTCAACCAGTCAATATGCTAGCTCTCAACAAACTTGTTCAGATTGCAGGTATTTAATAGAATTTTATGTTTTATTCTAGTGTTTAATTTATGTGATATTATTTATAGTTTAACAAAACCTCAATGTTCAAAAATTGTAAAAGATATGTTTGAAAAAGCACGTGATGAGTATGTATCAAAAGCAGACTCATGGAAAGCTGTCCCTGACAGTGTGTATGATGAAGAAATAAAACAACCGGCTGTTATATATGGTGTATACCATCTTTTAAGGCTTTTGGGTATGTATTAATTTAAGAATTGACGTTAAATTTTATTTAAAAAAGTATTTTGGTAAGATTTTAAACAAACAAAAAAAAAACTTATTTTTAAGTTTATAAGACCTTAATATGTAAATATGTTATTACAAATTCAATGAACAAGAAAATATTGTTAATGATATTATTATTCACATCTTCATCTTTTAAATTGTTCATTAAAGTGATAGATGATTTAAAGTTTAAAATATTTGAAGTAAAGTGTATTTACATTTAACATTCAAGTTTATTTTTAATAATAATTGTTATTAAAGTACATTTTGATTGTAGGTTGATTTTGTTAAAAAAATAATATATTTTTTTTCAATTTCTAGAAAATTTACCAAAAATATTGGCTAAAACTGAAGTGGATGGTGAAAAACTTTCAATTGTATATTCATACAGTAACGGATTGCTAAAGTAAATATTTTTAACTTAATATATTTAAATAATTTAAATACTAAATATTAAAATAAATATTATTAGCTGTTTTATAATAAGTGATTTTTCATATATATGCATTTAAAGTTTGCCAAATTCATGTATTAGATAATTTACCATAAAACAAAATATATATTAGTTTTGATGTGGCGTAATAAATAATGATTTTGTATATAACAAAAAAAAAAAAAAAAAAATGATTTCTCCAATTTGACACACCTAAGACTGTTGTTCTTATTACATAGTAGTGTCTAAATTGGAACTGCACAGATATTTTATAACCTTGATTATTTACTTTCCCTGACTACCACCAATGAATTGAAGCAACACTATTTTGATTTTGATGATTGTAAAGGCTTTTAAATTTTAAACAATTTAGAATTCATTTATTATAGTTGATAACACCGTTTATCCATTATGTAGTATACATCAAATTAATGATCATTTTTTAACTTTGGTTTATAATTATGCTTAGAACTGCCTTGTTTCTAGTTCTAATCATAAACATTTTTCTTGAAATTAAATTTGCCAACAATAATTATTTAAGTCTATTTAATCCACTGTTGGTGGTAGATTCCAAAATAATTATTTATTTAATGGAAATAATACCACTTTTTTTTCACAATGTAAACAAATAAAAACATCATACTATTTATTTGAAAAATATATAGCAATCTAAAGAAATTATATTTGTATTAATATTTAATTGTCTTTTCAAATTAATTTTAAGTTGATCAATTTTTAGTTTAATTAATTAGAATATATTTTAGAAATATTATTTACAATATTAGTGTTAAGTTTTAAAAATATGACATTGAAAAATCTAAGATAATTTGAATGTGGCAAAAAATTGAAATTTTCAAATGTAATGTCAATATCTCCAGTAATATTATTTACTTGTATTTAACATGATTGTGCTTTATATAAGTTAATATATTTTTCTATATTTTTATAGATACCTCTCAACTCAAACTCATTTGTTTGGAATGCAGTATTATGTGAAAAACGAGATGGATGTTACAGTAAAATCAAGTGCTTCGATTCGAAATCATCGAAATCAAAAGAATATTTAAGTTTTTTTAAGACATCCTTTACATCTAAACATTGCATACCTATATATATATATATTTATATATAAATGTACAGATATCGAATATGTTAAATAACTGTAAGTTATTTATGAAAATAATAAGTTAAAGTATTTTAACTTATCTCTTTACCAACAACTATTATTCAGAAATTTTATAACTTTCGACTTTTTTATATGTATATAAATATTATTATCATCTGTGTATCAAGTATTATAATACATTATTAAAAAAATGTCATAGTATATTCGCAAAAAGGATAAAAATGCAATTAAATATAATATTTAAAAAAAAATAATTTATGGTTAATAAATGAAGGAGATTTTATCTATACCTAATTAATTCTTAAAGTTTAAACTTACATATTTATTGTTATTGTTTAGGTTAAATTACTTATTAATCTTTTTTTTTTTTTTAAATCATTTTTCATTTATTTATTTATATTAAAAAAAAAAACAAAAACAAAAACAAAAATAAATATAATATAATTGTATGAGGAATTAATGTTTATTTTATTTTCATTTATTAACTACGTTTTTCATCCGACTTCTCATATCCTTTAATGACACATAATTTTCTTGAACTTTTTCCATTTCCGATTTTATGACTGCGGCTTCGACTGTAGACTCTAAACATTTACAAAATTTTTCTTGAGCCATGCGTAGACTACCTGGAACGAGCACACCAAAACGTTTGATAGGATCGTCACCATCATTGTCATGTGCCAATTTGATGGTGTCAGAGTTCTCCTCGCGTACTACTTTCGAGCGAGCAATGTACGGGCCAGATGTTGGTAGCTGTAGATCGGATACACTACGATTGCCCATCACATACCTACTTTTGGCTAGGTGCACGCAACCATCACGTAAACAGTGTTCTAGTCGACCAATGCTCGAACAATACTCATCCATTAATTGTATCATTTGTAGACAAATCTCATCCAATTCATCGTCGATTTGCTTTACCGACCGCTCGTGACCCATTGTGGTGAGTTTCAAGTTCTATAAAATTTTATTATTTGGGCGTCGACGGCGGATCGAATGCTCAAAACCTCAAGTCATTATTAGTTGATCATTGTTTAGTGTTTACGACGGCTGTAATTACTAATTACTAATTTTGTGTAGAAAATTCGACAACAACTCTGTGAGATAAGATAACGATTTCACCACCCGTCATAATAATAATGATAACTGATAACTGAGAACCAGATGATAAAAAAAACTAGGTGGTATCTGTAGTTCCATAACACATTTGTTCCAAAAACGTTAGGATGTATAATATTATCATTATTATTTATTATAGGTGTTTTGTAAATACAAAATTATATTAATAGTATACTCCCATTTTATTGGTAAAAAATTCTTTACAAACAATATTATTTAATTAATTGGTTTTAATGCATGCAATAATATTATAATAGGGACAGTTAATGTATATAATACATGCGGTTTATTTTTGGAAAAAAATAGTTCAGCCGACCGCCGACCCCATTAAACAATAAGAAAGAAAATAAAGCAGTCAAAAAGATAACTACTTTGCTGTACAATATGTGACGAGACGTACCTACTTCGTCAGCTGTAATCGAGTGTTAAGCAGCCAATAATTGTATTCGATAAAAAATGATTCTGAGCAAAGATTGCTTAACTTTTTGATAACCAAGGTTATTTCTTTTTTTTTTGAACACAATGTTTCAAAAATTAATTTACGAAATATAATTGGTATAATATATTAATGAATTATTAAACTAAAATAAACCTATTATAATATTATTTACATACTTGAGCCCTCGCACGAGCTTGATCAGAGGGTCCATTATATGATATAGGTATATGTTATATTATAGGGGTGGCCAACATGAATAGGTTCGCAGGCCACGTAGATAAATACAATGATACCAAGAGCCAAAATGTTTATATAATTTGTTAATTTTTTATAAGCTATTACCTAAAAATTAAAATTCATAATAATATTAAGTAAATTTTAATTTTGTAAACAAGACGCGAGTCGCATCTGACAATGACGAGAGCCACATGCGGTTCCGCCTTTTTTATAAAGTCAAACAACTCAAACATAACCAGCTACAGGCGTGGATCCAAAACATATTTACGGAGGGGGGCATCTTGAACACAATTTCAGCCTAAATCTAATAAAAACAGTGTAAATTCTATGTAAGTTACTGGATAAATAATATTATTTAAATTAATAATTAAATAAATAAATAAATATTTAATAAGTATTAAATTTATAATGGTTTCTAATAATATAAAATAAAATAAAGTAAATGATTTATTTGTGATTACTGATTAGGGGCCCGGTTTTAATGCAAACAATTATAGGATATGAAGATATTTATGCATCAACAATAAATATATTGTTTGTGAATGATTTGTTAATCCATACAAATACTTTAAAAATTATATTGAATATTAATTAATTATTATGGAAAAATTGAAATGTCATTAAAAGGAATTATAGGTAAATTTGTAATTGTTTAACTGAGTTAAGTAAAAATGATTTTATTTAATATTTATAAAATATTAAACTTGTATCCAGTGGGTATTATAATTATTAATTATCAATAAATTGTAGAGCTTGTATTAAATTTTACTCAAATAGTCAAATATGCAATAAGATTAAATTAATTATAGTGATAGATGTTTCAACAGAAACAGAATCTATGTATCAGAAATGTTTATCATTTATATTTAATCAAAATTATTTTAAATGTATAAAAATAAATAAATAATTATGTAAAAAATCGGGCACTTATGACTTAAAATAAGTTGTTTGCTTAACACGTTGACTGCCACGAGCCCGCCGGCGACCTAACATGGATGTGTTAAAGTGGAGCCACTTAGGTTGCCGGCGACCTAAACTGAATTATTCTTCGTGGGCCGCTTAGGTTGCCGGCGGTTCAAACCTCTCATAGTATTCAATAAATTCTATATTTTGATGGCGTACAGATAAAAACTTAATAATAACACTATGGCGTACACAAGAGAGAAACAAATAAGTTAAAAAAAAAACAAAGTTATTTTTTAATTTTAAGTGTATTTCGAGTTTATTCTATATTTTACAAAAACTATTATTATTTATGGTCAGAAAAACATGATAAACAAATGAATGGGTTTGATGGACATGTGCTGCAAAACGTAGTGACCTTTTTTGTTTTATTTAATGCTTCTCTAAAACATACAAATACATTTTTTTATTAGTTTTTAAGTTATTTCATGAAGAAAATTAAATTGAAATTGCAACAAATAATTTTATTACCTAAATCCTTTTTCTTGTGATATTTTTTATAACACTCTGTACAACGTTTTCGTAGTTTCCTATTTCTTGCACACTTCTCTTCTGTTTCTTCAATTTTATGTTTAGGTGCTGCTGATCTTCTCTGATTTCCAGTAGTTTTAGGTGTGGACATTTCTTGTGCTAATTTCCGGCTGGTAGGTCTTAGGTTAAGCATTTTATCAATTAACGACTCGCGAAATTGTTTTACATTCATTTTTGAGTTGTAATATTTCATGTTATACATGATTTGAGCATTAATAACACTAGTATTAAGTAATATCTCAGTCATGACTTTATGATACCAACGGATACTTTTTCTGACTGGAGTAGAATAGGATGCGAGTTGGTCCGATAAATCAATACCAGCTTTTCCTGAATTGTAAAATAAAATGACATCAGGCTTCAAAATATTTTCTTTTTTCCGAGATTGTTTTCCCGTGTCTACAATATCTAATTTGTAACGTGTAGATAGTAAAAATATATCTCGTTTATCTTTAAATTTAGATACTACTATTCCATCTTCGTCTTCTTTTCCGAAAATTTCTCCTTTTTTTATTTTTTTTGTAATTACTTCTTTAGGTAAGTAACGGCGATTTTTCCTTAGTGTTCCTACTAAATGTGTTTTTTTCTTTAAAAGTTTTTTAGCGAGTGGAACAGAAGTATAAAAATTATCTGTAACAACTGTTCTACCTTCTTCTAGATATTTTTCGCATAACGACAGTACGATTGTTTCACCTAACGATTGACCAGCAATAGACTGTTTTCCTTCATAAATAATTATTTTAAATGTAAAACCGTTAACATCACATACTTTAAATAGTTTAACACCGTACTTATGTCGTTTGCTCGGAATGTATTGCCGAAATTTTAATCTTCCTCTGAAAGGGATCATAGACTCGTCTACAGCAATGATTTCTCCCGGTGTAAGTAAATGATCAAAATTGAAATTAATTTTATCGAGAATATTCCTTATTTTGTACAAACGATCGGATCTATCACTTGTTTCATTATCGGCAAAATGCCAGAATCGTAATATTAGTTCAAATTTATTTCTGCTCATTATTTTCGAAGCTACATTATTTTCATATCGTTCAGCCTTACTCCAATAATCAGAAATGGTCGGATATTTTACAACACCCATCCAAAGTAATAATCCAATAAATTTCGTCATATCCTCTAATGTTATGGGTTCCCATGAATGGAATCTACTACTTCGCGAAAGTCTAATACTTTTTAGATACTGTTCAGCATTTCTGTTAGTTTCCAAAACCATACAGTTAAGTATATCGTCAGTAAGAAATAATTTAAAATAATCATATGGTTCATTATTTACCAGTAATTCTTCAGGTAACGTGCGATTGTTTTCGTAAACAAAATATTTTTGGTAATTACCTGTAACAGGATACCAGTTTGATTATATATTATTATCATTATCCACATTAATTTGTACTGGAAGTGATTCGTGACCATCGAATTCATCATCACTATCAGATAGTTGAAAAAGAGGATCGTCATCGCTGTCATCAACACTTTCATCCGAAAATGAAAAATCTGAATCACTAAGTGCATCTTCGATCTGTTGTTGATCCATTGTAATAAAAAATAATACGCGTAATATAAAAATATTAAGAACGCACAATATGAAACGAGCACAAGAACGCGTCGCGATCGATAAACGATTAATAACAATAATAATTTCTTATACATTTATTATGGGCGCCGGCGACCAATCTGGCGTCATAGTTATAAGACATTATTACCACGCCAGTTGACCGCCGGCGACCAAACTATTTTTATTTTAAATTTGCATTATACAGGTCTTTCCGATTATAACACTATAATAAAAATTACAATTGGACTCTCCTATCTATAAATACACACACGAACATTATAGTAATGCTCTATTATTTATACCATGGCTCCACTATTACATATTCGTGTTAGGACGCCGGCGGTCTCGTGGCAGTCAACGTGTTAAAACATAAATGTGTCTAATAAATGCAATGATAATTATATATCTAGTTGTCTTGTATTGCCCAACTATGGTATTTTTAACTATGCTTTGTTTCAAATTACCCCCTGCGGTTTTTTTCAAGTGCTATCACGACCTGGGGTATTCACTTACAGCGAGTTTCATTGGTTCTAGTAAGAAATAAGAATATAAAATTATAATAATGTGTATTTATATATATATCGTATTATATAAATAACAAAATATTTCTGTGAATACTGTAGAACAGTAAAATTAGATTTAGATCCCTAGTAATGAGTAGTACCTATAAAGTAAAAATAAATAAAAAATGTTATTGTGTTCAGTGAAATTTATAATAACACAGAGTGGAATACTCGAACGACTGATTTTAAAAATAGATTTTCCCAGTAATAATTAAGATAAGAATTATCGCTAAATATTATTAATTCTAAAACATTACGTGCCATTTAATATTTAGTATTCATGGAACAGTGGAGTGGTGTACGACATGCTCGTCCGATAAAATTGTTTTATAAAAGTAATGACAATTACGTAGCTGCACTGCGTTTATTTCGTCTTCACTTTAATTTTAAGCGCCATGATTCGGTACCATCTGCTAAGGCTGTTAAAATATGGATTACTAACTTCGAAAAAATGTATTCCTGAAAGAAACCTGTACAAAAAAAAATCATTCGTCTACTTGAAAATGTATCACTTTTGGAAGTGTTACACCGTATAGTGAAAAATATACGAAGTAGGCTCGAGAAGAGATGGCCATCATCCTGAGGACATGATTTTTAAAAAAAATGGTTAGTAATTTACTTAATTATAATACATAATAATTCATTTTTATTCGTTTTTTTAAAAATTTTATTTATCTTTGAAA